CTTGAGAGACCCCAACCCGAAACCTTCCCCCTCCCGTTAATCTGTTTCACTTACAAGACTAAATCCCCATTGTGGAATTTTTGAATTTCCTTAGGGTGCCAACAACCTACAAGCAGGTAAAAAAAAGTTCACACAGGTGAACCTTCAACTTTAGAAGTCTGTTGAGATGTGACCATGTGATATGAATGTCATGAATGAAGGATGAGTGGTACTACACCTCGTTTGTCGACCGAACTGCTGATCGTGGCAGAACGGTTTGGCGTTCAGCTGCTAGCCGTAAGCCTAAATCACTATGGAGATTCCTTAGATGCCCACTGCTGGCTATTCTCAATAAGAGTGAAACGGCTGCACAGTGTTTCTCTCCATTGACTGAATTGCTTACAAGACAAAATCACCATCGAAAAATAGGGTTTACCATATTTCTGAGCATTTTTTTCATATATAAGCCTCCTCCTCCTAACAGTTTCATAAGGTGGATGATTCTTGTTGTCGAAAGTTGGATTATGGGAATCCAAACCTAAAGTCTGCTCCCTTGATACACTTGGGATCTTGACGACATCAGTGAGGTCCAGCGGCATTCATCACTGTCACCCAGGCTGAATGACCAAAGCGGTAGTCTTGCGTAAGCTATGGTAATGCACAGAAAGCTATAGTTTAAACTGGTTGATGAGGTTGTTCTGTTCTTGAAGGCATCACTCTTAAGAAACAGCCCGCCTGCCATAATATAAACGAATTTGGGACCATACCACTTTGCGCTCTTTCTGGAGACAAACTGTTCTGGAACACTCTCTTGATGAGCGCCACTGCACACTGAACTTGTTTCAACGATGTGTACTATCAACAAAAGCTGTCAGAAAAGCTCGCGTAATAAAACAAGGAAATAGCCGGTTCAAAATGCTGGACCTGGTCATCCAAAGGGACTCATGAGCCTGGTGTCATTTTTTGCCTTGTTCAATATTTCTCACCATGGAATGACGCAAAGTAGTCATCTGAATTGTCCACACAAAACGAAACTCTGGGATAGACCGCGAAATTACCAGTTCGAGTCAATAATTAAAGGCTTTATCAGTATACGTTTTTTTGAGGAACCTACCATAGGTACCTTCAGGAATACCAAGATTTACCAATCAGCATTCGCATAAGCACCGAGACCAAAAGCTACTGCACGTTTGGAAAACAGAGTGACTTCTCAAAATGCGCCTACCTGCACATCAATTTGTTGTTGTTTTTTACGGGAAATTCATATAAATCCCAGCTGAATCCCCCGCTTATGATATGCACAAAGGCCGCCCCATGTTTCATTTCGTTCGATATTCGAGATATCGCAGTAGATTGCCTTGAAAGAACCCAACCATAGACTTGCTGAAAAGTCTATGACAGGTAGGAAAGTTTTCGGCAACCTTATGAGTAGTCTCCTTCAGGAGCGATTTCTGTAGTTTCGCGATTGCGATGGTAATAAGGTGGGCCATTCGGAACCCAAGCGTACAGAATAGGGTTATCGACAGAACATACTCAATTTTTCCGTACTGAGGATTCACAACGTTCCTATCCTAAATCCCACTCCGGGGTTTTTTGCCCTGATTTCTGGAAAACGTTTTCGAAAGTTTCCGAAACCCCGACAGAATACCAGCCATTTACACCAAGCTGCTTCTCCTGATGGTAAATGTCTCCCTGATAATCTGACTTTGTGAGAACATCTGTGTGAGCATCTTGGAATATATGGCTAGTCGACCTGTCTGATTCCGGATCTCATCCTGTTTATTCAAAGCCTCTATCCTGTCGCTTCAACCTAGAGGAAGTCGCACAAGTTGAGTTGCACAGGGATACTGAAAATGTGGCTTAAAAACGTAAATTATCAGTACGTCAATGGCCGTCGTTTTTTGGTTGCCTACCGGCATTTGCGGTGCGCATACCTAACCTCGATGTTTTAGAGAAAAAATGGGTCACGCAAAGTGGATTTCTAGTTCCCTGACCGCGGAATATGAATTCTTTGAATGGATAATCTAGCCTGTTGTTGGAACGCAACAGTGTCAGGGTGAGATTGTGGAATCAGAGACTTTGGTTAATAATATTATGCTAACCTGTGCTAGCATCAGGCTATTTACCTTCAATTACTTCAATACACTCATACTTGTGTCCAAATTGCTTTCATACTGACATGATTATCCGCTCAGGGATCCGCTTAACCATACAGTGCTAGTGCACTGCTGCTACTGGGAGCCGAAAAGTGCTGTGGCAACTTTGCTAGCTTCGTGTGATGCGGTCCAGAAGAAACTGAAGTCTAACACATTCACGAGATTTGTTAGCCCAGTGAAAATCCACAGATGTTCATTAGATGGTCGTTTCCGAGTAGTATTCAACTTTCACAGCATAGGAAATCGAGGGGTTGACGATTGACAGTGAAAAACAATCCAAGACAGTCTACTCACATGAACGAAAGTAGTGGAAGTAAATGGCTCAAACCAGATCACGCTGTCTATACTGGCCCGAAATTCTTTCCATACTCTCAAAGTAACAAAAGTTGCCAAAAAAGAGTTTGCAGGCCCGGGAAACAGTGCATGGCCAGTTTAAGTGACGGTTATTGACTGCTCATTAAACTACAACCCGGAAAGTTACGAAGGCTGCGCTCTGTTGTTTCTGATATAGATCAACTGTTTAAATCAATAAAACTAATGGAAACGTTGACATCCGATTCAACCGAAATCACCGCCGTACGGAATGAACTAAAAGGTTGTGTATGAGATAATCTATGGCTGAGTTATTTGAGACAAACAACCCGAACGAACAATATCAGTGTTAGATTCACTAAAACAGTAGCTCAACGGTTGACAGTATATGATGAGTGAATTCCTGTTAAAGTCACTCCAGTTCTTCTTCAGTGTCCCTTCAGCCTGATATTAGCGACATAACAAGAACGGGCTTTGGCACTAATGAACTCATCTTGAGGTGGAGGCCGCGTAGTAGGAATATGAAGTCCGTTTATGAGCTAATAAACCAATAAATAGATGGACGCAGCCGATAGCGGTTGAAAACTACATATACTTGATGCTAGGCCAACGGATCGTTCGTTTTAGATTAAGGACAGTCCGTGGTTCATCAATGTTCGAATTTGAGCAAGGCGAGCGTCATCTAGGAAAATAATAATTTCTTTCGTTTTTAAGGACAGTCCGTGGTTCATCAATGTTCGAATTCGAGCAAGGCGAGCGTCATCTAGGAAAATAATAATTTCGGCGAACGGATGACTGACAAACTGGACCTATAAGGGGCCCGAAACCTTGTGTGAACACTCCGGTAGTGGTTCAGAAAGAATATGAGGTGGTGTTTGCAAATTGTCCCAGAAATACAGAAAGCTGTTGAGCGACACATTAGCGGAAGTTTCAAACAGGCACTGGACAGTTGCTGCACTCCTCTTTAATTCTGATATATCACATGACACAAAATGCCACGACTTGGAATAAAACCGCAGCCATACTAGAACCAGATGGGACAAACAACGTACAACTGTTGCCATGAGGTTTAGTGGTAGGAAATTTCATCTACATGCTCCAGATATACGCGTTACTGACAACCTACGAAAACGGAGTGTATAATAATTAAAGATATCAAGGTGCCTTTTGCTGGTAGAGAAGTAGGATAGTGAAGACAAGTTTTAGGCAACTCTCTTAACATCCAACTACCGTGCAAACCCGAGAAACCGATTCGGTTGTATTATACTCCAGTGTGCGGCTACCATGCAATCCCGAAGACCGGAAGGAGCATAAAATAATCCAAAATGCTAATACCACGACGACTTTGGCCTGACTCAATCCGGACTTGTATCTATAAAGCTAAAAGTCCTGATAGTTTAATCGAGCTCAACTCTGTGATCCTGAATCGCTGACTAAGAAGCTGAGTACAAACATTTCATTTCAGCGGCGCCTAAGGATGCATGGGCCAGTGTATACGGTATTTCGTGCGGACTGAACATGTATATGCCTGTTTGCAAAATCCCTGGACCCCAAAGTTGGTGATAACTCAAAGGCCGCATATGTAGTGATAGTCAATGGTACCAGCAATATGGTAAAATGGTCCACTGTCCTACCAACATTGTCCCCAAATGTACCCAACTTGACGCGTACCTTGTAGCTCCCGGTACAGCAAGCTACGCGGTATGACGCGTTTTCATTTTCCCGATGTATGTGAGAGTTGTGGAAGCAGAGAGATTCCACAGTGCTACATGATCTTGGTATTGATAAGTGTTTCGAGAGAATGTTGTAGCTGTTAGGTTTAGAGACGTTTGTCAACTAAAGATGAGTCATGGAGTCCCGCTTTCGTAAGCAGCATCCTTCCATGAAGGACGAAGAACTTGCAACTGGAACATAATAGGCATCTCCAGGAACAAGTGCCTAAGGAAATGCACCACACAATCAGCGGCATTCTGAGGGCTACTATACCGACATCCAGATATTTGTTGCCCAACTAGACATTGCACGATTTCTACTTCATGGTAGAGTACTGGTGGCGACTGACGTAAGACACTTTTATGAACTGTATGGGAATAGCCTGTCACAAGAGTTTACTTTCTTGTAATGACCGCAGGCGCAAGAGTCTCATTTTTCATGCGCCAGGGCCAGAGTTAGAGAAATTATATGCCGTCTTGAAATTGCCAGTTATCCTAAGATGCTTCATGTGGAGATCGCGGTTCAAGTCACGCTTTCAGTAGGTAAAGCGAGAAGGGACAGTTTTGAGAACCCAAGGGCGAATCAAATCATTGATAGGACACTACTTACAAGGTCGATGAAAACCGTCCGACAACCAGCTACTGGTTTAACCTATTTCTGAATTCATCAAGTAAGTCTAGCCTCCAAATTTCAAAAACTCAGTTGGATATCGAGATATCCGTTTGAGTCTCCCGTTAACATCCCGATTTGCAAATGAATATTCAGCTTGTCATTCGCAAACTAGACCATCATATCCTTTGCCTCAGCGAAAAGTCAGGAGAAAAAAAACAATTGGTTCCTACGAAGCAGAAAAATTACCAGCAACCAGAAACCGGGTGGAACAACACAATCAAATTTTACCACCGTGTATAACAACGTGAACCGAGTTATCATAATAAGCAAGTATGGGAGGTTCGCTAAAACAATAATTGTGATCAAATAGGCGTCCGCTTTGAACCAAGTGCATCCTGAACAACAGTTACCTCATACACCGATTGTTCCGAAAGACAAGACAAACAACGCAGATGAGTTTGGCGGGTCAACGGAGCGCGAAAGCTGAAGAGTCCAACTCCGAACAAGATTACTGAGAAACACAGTAAGTATAACACATGGAACCCGTAATGGAACAGGTAGATGCCTATAAGAAGTGCGTATACATCTGCTGTGAGAAGAGATAAATTGACCAGCACAGCACTTGTTTTGGCCAAGACGTAGGGCATAAGAGAATACAATGAAAACATTGCTGCTACATAACCAGCCAGGCAACCAAATATCAAAGCATGGTTCGATGAAGGAGAGCCGGATAAGATGGAAAACAAAGCAGTCCGTTCAAGCGTCAGACTGTAGATTGCCGTGTGGACCAGTGCCGCCAAACTGACAAAAGCGAGAAAGTCGAGGAATCCATAACGAATTACTAGATACTGTTGCAAAACATTCGAGGCGGCGTAAGCAACAGATCCCAAGATCACCAGAAAGTCACCGAGAATCACGTTAGATGAAGATTCGACTAGGACAGTGATGTTTCCAGAAGTATTCGTTGGTATTTGTGGACCAGTTGGATTGACTAATACATCCATGGCGACCATGCCACCAGCTCCAGCAAGACAAATTATCACTGCAGCGTAGTGTGTCCAAAAAAAGCGACTCCGTAAAAATATAATGCTGAGGAGCACAGCGACGGGGATAGTTAGGCAATCCAGTAGTTGGATGCTAGTCACATTGGTAAATTTATAAGCGGCCACGAAAGACCAATTCGCGTGGGTATCAATGAGTCCGGCCAAAATATACAAGCTGGCTCGATATAAACGGTCCTTTGTACAAAAACGTGTTGTTGGTGTTTTGCAGTTTCTGTCTAATTGGTAAGATTGTCTGCGTCGAAACAAACAAAACAGACGCGGTGGGAAATAACACAAGAAAAGAAAGCAATAATGAAATAAATTCTGAGAAAGAGGCACGCTGACGCCAGCATTTGCCAGAAACGTGCTACACACCGCCGTGGCAGCTATCATACCAGCGAGAACTTGACCAAGTAGCAAAGGAACGCCAATAGAATGCCAACGGGATATCGTACACTTACACGTTCTCAGACAAGCGCTGGAGGAGCAGTGGATATCGGAGTTTGTGGATTCCGATTCATCGGAACTTGCAACGATCCGAAAATGTGTTAGTTCATCGCACAAACCGGTGGTTACTTGCGGATACTGACTGGACTTAGTCGGTTTGCTCATTGAGCTCGAACAGGTGAGTAGTCACAAGAATACCACATTCATCAGTAATGCATGCACACACTGCAAATGGGGCTAAAAACAATATAAAAAGTAGGATTCAGTTCTTATTGAACATCGATAGTTCTCAGGAATGCATGTCAGAACTGTGGTGACACAGATGGCACCGACTTGAGTGTGCAAAACTTATCGGGATAGTGAACTCTTGGCTTTGGTTATAAGACACAATAAAAACTAATCAGGGCACACAGACAGATCAACGTTGACAGCCATAGGTACGAACATATGCACCCTAACATTTGAAACAAAAGTTGGGTGAGCTAGGGGACTTCAATTGATTTACCGAGAGCAAAACGTCCGCTGACGAAAAATACTCATGGATTCTCCACCACTAATGTGCACACGGAACGTTTGTGAGTGCGTTTTTTGTCACTCCGGTGAATTAGGCTTGCCAACTTATCACACGGCAAAATCTCTAGTGGATATTTCCAACCCAGTTTAGTAAGTTTTCTAACCGTCCGTCAAACTGCCCCGTCCGATTACAGGACCTAAGACTGGCGTACAATGTAGTTAGGTACCCAGCATGTTCAGGCGCGGTCGTCGTATTGTTTGACCTCCGGCGGATGACATGCTTTGATTCCCCAGATGGGCTTCTCCGTTCAATTGAGCTGATGGAACTCAACCGCACCGAACAGCCTACTACGTTGTTGAAGTACTTTCCCCAACAGATCGAGTAAAACAGAGATGTTACCGAGAGGCTCAGAGTGGTTAATTCTGATACCTCTGTTGAGGCATATCAGGTGAGTACGGTGATATCAGATACACTGTTTGGTTGACAGTTCCAGGTCGTTGTCACTGTACCAAGATGTCTACCGATGAGTCTATGCAGCTGACAAATTTGATTTGAGTCCTGGTCTAACCAGGTGTTTATAATTTGCTTGAATTCAGATGTCTGTATGAATTGGTCGCCCGGGGAACCACACCTGAAATTGGTGGTTAGACTGGCATCAAACAGGGTCAGAGATAAGTGAAAGCTGTCAAGTAAGGTTGAACGTTGGAATCATATGAACCGATTAGTGAAACATCCGCATAGTTGAAAAAAAAATACATAGCCAGGTGAAGGTTACACAGGTCTTAGCAATCAAGTGACCTACTTAAGAGCTGAAGATTTGAAGCAAGCTTCGGGACACAATGCACCTAACAACCAGGCCCCACCGACCCAGCCCAACAGTAGAGCTCGCCCGAAGTTGTTCACATCCAAGCTTGGTTAGTGCTGTTACCCTGGAGGCAAGTAGCATGACAAGTGCAGTCGGTAATCCTTCAAACTACATTTCACTCTGCGCCACATCAGTCTGGTTTCTTGCCATCAACGAGAAAAAGTACAGACTAAGTCACCACGATCGAGCATTTTAGACCTACCTCAGTGTGCACCCAAGACAGAAATTTAAAAACACATCCACTGGCGCGACAATATAGCAACAGGACGATTGCTGAGGTCAAAGTTATCAGCCAGACAACGGATAAAACTCTTGGAATGACATTAAGCCCATCTCCATGTAAACATTAGTGACGTTTCGGACGAGCAGTTTGCTGTGAAGTGCACACTAACCGGAACGAGTGTGTTAGCACGAGACTCATTCAGACTAGAGCAACAAGAGCCTGATCCAAACTAAATGTGGACAAACCTGAATTTTTGGAATTGCTGGCGAACAATTGAGTGTGAATTTGACCTGAAAAGAAGGACGAAATACTGGTTCCACATGACCTCCTAGGTAGTGATATTGAGAAGCTACTTCAGCACAAATGTTGATGTTGACATCGGTGGATGTCAGTTCAATGGGTGCATAGACTAGGTATCGCCGTAGCTCTGGAGATATAGCAGTTTATCTCTAAGTAAGTATCATCCGTCATGACCATGAAATAGAAATGTGCTTTATTGAGATGCATGCAAGACCAGGCGAGCACAGACACAAAAATTAAAAATATATATTCATAAACAAACAGGTAGGTACAGTTAGACTATAAATAGACATTCCATTTGGATTCATTCGGATATGGCTCAGCTTGACTCGACAAATTAACCTAGAACAAAATGCGAGATAGTTATCATCAGTGTTAGTATGAAAAGGTAGCAAAACAGGACAGAAATAAAACCACTCGGCCGTAACGCACTTTCAGTGCCTAGCTGCCATGCACCCGAAGAAAGCACGAGGGCTGGGATACTGCCATGTTACCCAAGCTTAGACAGGGGAAGTCGAGAGGCAGAAGTCGGGTCATTAAATCGCGCTCCTAACAACTGGCTACCTCGCCCCCACCCCCAGGGACAGTAATAGAAAAAACAAAATACAATACGACTGAGAGAACTGTCTACTGTAACTAAAGAATCACACGTGTGGCATTGTGTGGGTTATCTGTTGTCACTAACTAAAAGGATGAAATCATTTTCACACGTTTCATATTACGGCCGATCAGACTCGGATTACTGGAGTAAGTCTGCACAACCTGAGATTCGGTAATCTCCCTTTGTGAGAAACGCATTTAGGAGCGCCCAAACCGTTTATGAAAAGTTTCTGAAACGTTCCACAGAAAACGAAGGCAGAATATAACAGAAATGATAAAATTTTGTTTTTTTTGGTCTCAATCAGATTGAAGACGGGTTTCCTAAACAAGATTGCTGACTGTAGGGGACATTAGGGAATAAAAACTATTTGCTTTTTGTTCAAACTTGGAAAGTCCACTGTTTGAAATTTCCCTCTGAGGAAAGCCATTTTCTCGCACTAGCCAACTCACTTCCAGTAAACCAGGATTTACTTGATGATTATGCATTCCCATGAACTATAAGCAAAATACACCAATGGTTATCGATGTGTATGCATAATCTTCCGACAGTTCCCTCTCGCTTTGCTAAGGCGCACAACGCCGACCTTCCCGTGAAAAACAAACAGTTCCGGACAAGTCAGTGGTCTGTCACTTTGCGGATTCCAGGAATAATAGAATGAGCCTAATCCTGAACTGACCAGAATTTACCATGCCTTAACGTATTTTGGATGGGAGAACCACTTTTCCATTGAACAGGCCAAAATGAAAGCAGGGTCGCGGTTAACGACAAAACTGTGTGCGGTGGCTGACCTGTTTATGCCTGAGCATCACTCTGTAGGTAAAAAGTGTCTTTACTTCGATTGTTGTAAGAATTTGTTCGAATAAAATAAAAACGAGACCCAAAGATTAGTCCCTTTGAAGTGACTCTTCGCTGGGTTGTTGTTGAACAGAAGAGAAAACTGTTTCTACAGTTGGTAATGCATTACTTTTACAGTGCTGACTTCAAGAGCTGTTAATGGTGAGTGGTGCAAAAAATAGCAATCTGTCAAATAAGATATTTTTCGGAAGTTGCTCAAAAAGAACAAATACTGTAGTTCAAGAAAACGGACATACGAACCAGTCCATCTAAGTTGCTACAAAACAAACCAGCACCAGCGCAGTATTCCTTTTAGATCCAACGCAGGATCAATTTGTGGATAGCTGAGTGCCGCCTACATATTATTTTTGCCAGGATATCCTCGTGTCTCCAAAGGATATCTCGATAGTATTCCTAAAATGACATGCCACGATTCCCAAACGAAGTTGACAAAAATAGGAAAATGACCCGATGTGGATTGAAGCTGTCCCAAAAGGTGGCCAAACTGACAAGCAACGCCATGCTACTTCTAGAGTCAACCTGACATTATATATTATATTTAGATTCCGATTGACTTCTGCGCCGCCACTGTGAAAAATTATCGAGATACTCCACAAAGCGTTGAAACGCTCTAGTTCAACAGATAACTCGGCGCTAGCAACAAATGTCCCGACCATCGAGGCCTGTTGAATGTGGGGTTGACACTCCGGTCTCCTGGAATAAGAAATAATAATCCTCCAGTCGGTGCCTACAGCCATACATCTCCAAGGAAGAACGAGGGCTGAAATACTGCCAGGCTGCACGAGTCTATAACCTCTGGTCAATAAGGTCGCGCTTTAACTGCTGAGATATTTGGAGCTATCCCCTGGAATTGGCGTAACTGGACCAGCATGAATAGTCAGAAACAAGCTTCACGAAGCGTAGCACCGCAATATTACTAAACCGCTCTTAAAGAAAATAAACTCCCAAGAACAGCGCGACTTTGGCCCAACAATTTATACCCCTTGAAAGAACTGTGGTAGTTTGCTTTGGCTCGTAGGATTGGTACAGGTTGACCGATTTTAAAAAAGAGCCTCGGATTTGAACAAATCGCGGTATCACCAATAGTTAACCACGAGGAATAAGAGCCTACTTGTGGAAGACACTAGCGGTTTCGTTTGCCGTCACTAGACTGAGGTCAGACGTAAAGATCTGACAGAAGGTAGCAAACGAGCATTGGTTCATTGCTCTGCAAACATGTAATGTGCTTAATAGATGCTATCATTGTAAAATAGCGAAAGATACGAAACTCATCAACAGCATAACGGTGTTACACCACAGCTAGTAAACACATACCGAATCATTAGCTGAGAGTAACGAGAAATCCCGTGGTAAAGAGCGACATGGGTTTATGCTCAGACGATACTCGGACTTGTCTTCTACCAACTCCTCTTCTTCAAAGGGCTGTATTTTGTAAGATAAAGCCGAATCGCAGTCAGTGATCGTAATCGGGTTAACGTTTTGTTGCCGCTCAAAGGGCACAGTAAGTATGTCCGATACGTTTTCTTTTTCCTGTTCACAGTAGGACAGGCCAACTGAATGTGGAAGACGAGTGATAGCTTCCTTGTTGAGATGTTGAACGATGGCTCGACATTCTCGTGCAGTTGCTTCCGCGAAAACCTGTGAAAAACAGACAAATAAGCTAAAGGCACATGCACGATTGAAATTAAACACAGGCGGAATGCAATTGTGGATGTGGACTCAAGAGTGAGCTTGTGATTCCATTTGCTGCCATACCACGTAGTGAACGGCAAAGAAGAGGCAACTTATGGGTGGCTGTGCGAAAGGCTACGTAGTTCGCTTAGCGGGTAAACAGTTGGAAAATGCGTACTGCGCTTCACGATGCGTCACATGGTGTCCATTCTTCAGTAAGGAATTTATCGGTTTTAGCCAATAGTGTTATCGCATGCAGCGTTCAAAATGATATACCATACGATACCCCGCAGGCGAGTCGAAATTTACATTTTCTACTTAGAATTACCCGTCATCCTTTACTCGCACTTTTCTGTAATCCTCGTTCAGTTTACTTGGTTGCTGTGTTTTTAATTATACGAGGCTAACTCATTCGCGGCAAATGGTCTGTCATGTAATGGAAAGTCCCTCGGTGATATCACCCCATCGAGTCAGGTATCTCACTTGATTAGCAAGGACAATGCATAAACGAGTGAAAGGATTGATAATTCACTGGAGCCCAGCAAGTAGGCCCAAAGCATTGCGTTCGACTCCGAAGAGGACAGCATAAACATGCAAAACTATAATTTGATTTAGCACCTACCTTCAAAATGGATTGCTTTGTCGAACAAACTTTGCAAACCCATTTAGCGGACTTTTTGTTTTGTTGCACTTGAAACATCATACACTTGGAACAACAAAGAACAAGGTGATTGGATGACATTTATGTTGCACGAGGAGAGAAACGGATGGAAGCACCTGCAAGGTAGAGGAAACAGGTGAGAGCTGTTATCCTGAACCCAGATAATAGAGAGCTTAAGACAGCTTCGGATCTAAGCCACAAAACTGATGAGCGGAAGGACCCTTGGTCCTAAACCGATCCCGGCTTCACGATTGCTTTGGTAACCTGGCAGCAACTCAGCTCCCGTGATTCTCTGGGGTTGCACGGTAACTAAGGCACCTGAAAAATTTACTTATAAGGAATGCTGGTGGAAACCATTGATGTAGTTCGGTGTCACAAAGTTCCACATTGGCTTGTGCCATAGAGGAAGTGGGGTGCGGAGATCACAATACTGACACCACTGGCGTCAGTCTCGTAGCAAGTCTCTCCTTCATTTGGCTGTTGATTGTGTCTGGCAGAACGGCGTGTTATTCGCATACTGGTGATGCCAATGCATCGTCCCTCCTTTAAGTGCGGATAATCATTGTTAGTTCGAACGAGGCGGGAGAAATCGAGTACCATATGAGCACTCCTGGTGAGTTACACACCTACACCTACCTACAATGCCATAATCCCGATCAATTTTGACACCATAAGCTCCAGGTGTCTTAAATGATATATCAACACATTGTGCTGCCACGTTCAACTGCGTGCAACAAGTAAGACCAGTCGCCCGTCACGAAGAGACTGAACCATACCATGGCGTGACGGTTTGCGCACCTCAGCGATCCATCGAGCTATACTGGGGATTGTCCCGCGACACTTACGGAGTCTCTCATACTAGTTTGGTCAATAGTTAGAGGTCTGAAGAAAACAGTCCCCTGGCCCTCCAGGTTGGGGGTTGGAACATGTGGCGACTTGCTCCGTAGAAATGGTAATGTATTTCCGTTTCCCGCCAAACACTGCTGCCTTGGGGTTAGGCTTTTGAGCCATTGGCTTTGGTTGAGGACCCTAATCGTCCTCCTGTCTAGGTGTGGGCGCCCTGGCAGTATCCCAGCCCACGTACAACCATGAAATGCACATACACAAATAAACTCATGCCACATCGGCCGTCGCGTGGTGCCATCAGCCAGGTCGCCTTACTTGCTGTATACAGCAGGGCGGGTAAGCGAAAACAGGCTACTGCTGACGCCTCCCTTCTTTCTCCTTCACATACTTTTTCTTCCCCCTCTCCCCACCCCATTAATAACTCTCTCCTTGTAGGCTCAGCACTTAGGACAGATGACTCCGTTCGTCATGCATCGGTTTCGCGTGCAGCATCTGCTCGTCACGTGGCGCCGACATCTTCAGAAATCTCCAAATCAGTCCTCAAGCCTCGACACCCAGTCTATCTGGCCGCGTTCAATGTTCGCACTCTGAAGCAAGCAGGACAACAAGCTGCTCTTGTACTCAAACTGGACTCGTTTGACATTGATGTGTGCTGTGTCTCAGAAACGAGAATTCAAGATGCAAGCACAGTGATTGAGTTAACCGCCCCGTCAGTCTCCATTCGCTTCCTGCTGCACACCTCTGGTGATTCAGAGGCTGCTGCGGTGGGGTGTGCAGGGGTTGGTATTGTGCTAAGTCACCGGGCAGAAGTATCCTTACTTGACTGGATACCTGTTGATAGTCACCTCTGTGCGGTTCGTCTGACAACGTCTGCGAAGGAGTCCCACAAGCGGCAAAATGATAGATGCCTGTATATCGTCTCTGTCTACACCCCCAACTGACTGTAGCTCCCACGCCGTCAAAGACAGGTTTTACGACGCCCTGAATGTCCTGCAGCAGCGAGCTAAAAGCTCAAACATTGTGGTGGTTGCCGGAGATACGAATTCGTAAGTGGAAAGGCTTCGTGCATCTGAGACTCAACTAGGAGGTCAACATAGACTGGACTCGGTACGTAAGGAAAATGGAGAACGATTGCTTCAGCTGTGTGCTGATCGCAGAGTGTTTTTATGCAGTACGAACTTCCAAAATAACCGGATTCGTCTGGCCACTTAGTGTCTTCCAACGGCAGGCCGGCCAGAAATTCAAATCAACCAGATTGACATCAGTTACCGATAGCGCGGATCAATAACTGACTGCCGTTCGTTTTGGAACACATTTGTGGACTCTGACCACGCGCTCGTCCGGAGTCGCTTCTCCCTACGTTTCCCTTGGCCGCGTAAGGTGCGGACGAATCGCCTGGCAACTGAAAGATTGGCAAATCCGGATGTCAGACGAACTTACAAGAATCATCTTCTACAGTCTTTTCTAAGTGCTCCACCATCAGATGTGAAATCATACTGGGACGACATTGCCGCCTCTTTGCATAGTACTGAGAATCCTCCCTGTGGCACGACCCGAGCTCCTGGTCCGGATAACCTTCCACGCGCACTGTTCAAGGACGGGAGTTACGTCCTCAGGCAGCGCTTGTCCGATCTGTTTGCTTGCATCTGGGAAAGGGAGTCTGTCCCAGACAAATAGAGAGAATCGGTGATAGTGTCCGTTTTCAAAAAAGAGGCGCGTAGTGAGTGTGGTAACCACAGGGGGATCCGCTTGACCCCGGTTGTAACGAGACTGTTGGCGTCAATTGTGCTTCGTCGCCTTACGGTGACTCGTGGGATAGTGACTCCAGAGCACCAGGCGGTATTCCGGCCTGGTAGGGGTTG